TCTGGGAATTCCTCAACGCTGCCCAGAACTGCCCTTACCTCACTCCTAAATTCTTCACAACAGTCTTCTTTCCTCAATTTCCACCATTTTATTTTCTTCTCTGTCTTCACCCTCTTCCTTTTCCTCACCTCCATTGTCAGCTTGCACACTACTATCCTATGCTGTTTGGCTACACTCTCTCCTGGCACCACCTTACAGTCGTTAACCTCCCTCAGATTACCTCTTCTACATAGGATATAATCTATCTGTGTGGACCTGCCTCCACTCTTGTAAGTTATCAGGTGTTCTTCTCACTTTTGGAAATAGGTGTTTACCACTGCCATTTCCATTCTTTTGGCAAAGTCTACCACTGCCTGTCCTTCCAAGTTCCTATCTCTAAGTCCAAACTTGCCCATCACTTCCTCATCACCTCTGTTACCTTCCCCTACATGACCATTTAAGTCTGCTCCAATCACTACTCTCTTTCCCCTGGGAATGCTCTCTGTCACTCTATCCATCTCATTCCAGAACTTTTCCTTTTCTTCTAACTCACAGCCCACCTGTGGGGCATACCCACTGACTACATTCATCATCACACCTTCTATCTCTACCTTCACGCACATCAACCTGTCTGACTCTCGTTTTACTTCTACTACATGTCTAGCATATTTTTCCTTTATAATCACCCCTACTCCATTCCTCTTCCCATCTACACCATGGTAGAACAGCTTGTAGCCTCCTCCAATGTTTCTAGCCTTGCTGCCCTTCCACCTTGTCTCCTGAACACACAGAATATCTACTCTCCTCCTCTCCATCATGTCAGCTAGTTCTCTGCCTTTCCCTGTCATTGTACCTACATTCAGAGTTCCTAACCTCAGACTAATACTTCTAACCTTCCTCTTTTCCCTCTTTCTCTTTCCCTCTTTCTACCAATCGTCCTCCTCTTCTTTGTCTTCTTCTTTGACCAACAGTAGTCCAATTTCCAACAGTACCCTGTAGGTGAACAGCACTGTTGGCGGTCGTTTTTATCCTGGGCCCCGACCGATCCAGTATGGAAATCGTTTTATCAACTTGCATGTTCGTTTTGGCAAAAGTTTTACGCTGGATGCCATTCCTGACGCAACCCTCCCCATTTTTCCGGGCTTGGGACTGGCACTGGCGAACAGTGTACCCCCACGGAGGGGGACTGCTCCCTAGTGGCTGGGTTTTAAGGATTAAAACCATTACTGAATAAAAAAAAATCTGGTTCCTTGTTTTTGTTTCTGGTTCGAAACGATTCTCAATTATGTTTCTATTTGGGGGTAGCCCCAAGCAAAAAGTAGTTTAATCAAGTATACTATAAAGTAAACTTTTTTAAATTCTAAATTGGAGACAGTGTACTTTAAGTGCACCTTTTAAATACTACATTTTTATAAACTTAGAAGTATGCTTACTTGTCTTGTACTGAAAATTACACAGACAGATAATTATCATATATGGTCCTGTACTTTTAAAACTTAATTTGTTCCAATTTAGTGTGAAAGAGTAAACTTCAGATATTTATACTCAAGTATATAGTACTTCATATATCCTACTTTTTTGAAAGGGAGGGTCACATTTTTTTGGCATGGAATAATTTAGGGATGTCCAAACTACAGCCATTCATTTTTAGCTGCTTGCAACACACACTAAAACAAACAAACATTTGACATTGTGTTTTGTATTATTTTATTACCGATGAGGGGTTACAAACAATTTGATCTGTGTGTGTACAGTATTTCAGCAAGATTTCTTTGCCTGTTTTCTGACCAGAGAAAAACAGTTCAAAGACCACAAAGCAATTGAAACCATATTTGGAAATTGGAATTTGTTTCTTGCACATATATATATATATATATATATATATATATATATATATACATGTTTTGTTAAGTGTTTTATTGATCATTGAAATTTTTGTAGCTCATGCACAGTTCACAAAAATCGGTATGATTAATGTTGGAATTTTTGCAATAAAACAACCCAGCACATCATACGTTTTGATTGTGTTGGCTGCATTACAAAGTCTGCTTAAGAAACTGTAACGTATTCCATTTCGCCCAAACATATTCTTGTCTAGTTGTTTCTTTTCTCACTTATTGAATTTCAAATTTCTGAAATGGAATAATTAAAATCACTGCTAAAAAAGCAACCATCAACAACAACAGAGTCTGAATCAACTATGACCACGAGATTTGAACTCCGTCAAAGCTTGGAGTCACTCTCCTTGTGACTCAAATGTTTCTTTTTTGAGGCCCAGAAACTCCAGGGCATTCCCAGCTAGTAACTTGTCCTGTAAAACAAAAAGACAGTTGTTGGTGACAAAAACGCGCAGTAACCCAGCAGACGCAGCAAATGGAGCCGCCTTAAGGTACATTGTCAAACATGATAACTACCTTCAGTGTCTCATCAAATTCTGTCATCGACTCAATCAGAGATCCAGGTTGGAGCTCGCCCAGTGGGAATGGGTAATCCGTTCCAAGCATGACTTTATCCTGAGAAAGAAAGCAGGTCAAGCTCCAATCCCCCACGCTGTCCCGTCACAGTGCAGGGGGTCTTTTCTGGCACAAGGCACGGCATGCGGCTTACTTTTCCGATGACGTCAGTCAGCAACTTGAGGGAGACGGGGTCGTGAACCAGGGAGTCGGTGTAAAAAGATCCCAGGTATTTCCGGGGATTGCACTTGTTGTTATATATATATTATATTTTTTTTTTTTTTTAATTCTCGTCCTGATACCAGTGGCACTTCGTGTGTTTCCTCACTTCAACCCCTTTCAATGTTGATTGCTCTTAAACTCTGAGTGTATTTGTCTTCTCCTGTGGTGACCCGATTGTGCCTCTGTCCTGCCTTCCTTCATTCCACTTTAGCTCACCTTTTGCCTTTGAGTTCTAAAAAATGATCCCATAACGTATGCGAATTGCTGTTGATTTGACTTCCTTCAAACATTACTCAATATATAGAAAGAATGACAGCTCTTGAGAACACTTTGTAACAATGTAGCTTTGTTTTCTCTATCAAGATGTTCAGTTGGCATTGACTTTTGACATATGAAAAGGCTCTTCCACAACTAATAGCGTGTGCCATATTACGTGCCAATAGCCTACTTTGCCATTAACAGAGGTAGCAGTGTGGAAATTGAAATGCATCCCCGAGTCAGCGAGAGGTTAATGGCGAAACTTGCAGAATTATTTGCTCAGGGAGGCCAAGTACAAAACAAAACATATCCTGAACAGCTGTATAGTCAATCCGTGGTACACAAACTTCAACCATCATTTTTGCTGTAGGTGAAACTTACAGACATGCATTTAAGAATAAAATAATTCAAAATTGACACAAGTCAGAAAAAAATTTGGAACATCAGTCATCATTTTTGTGAAATGAAAAAAACATCCTCAATATGGTACTGGCTGAGTCACGAACTCTAGTGGCATTTTGGACTTGATCTCAGTGCAGGCAGCATTTTTGTCAATCATAATTCATATCTTATTATGTACCCTCACAATAAGAACAGCATCCCAGACACTGTCTCTTCATTGTCATCCTCCAGAATAAACATCTGTCCCACACATTGAAAGTTCATGTTGATATTTGTACATTTCTGCTTCTTGTGCTGACCCGTCTCTTCATTTGGCGCTAACAATATGCTGAAACAGCAGATTAAATTAAATTTAATGACTGGGAGGTCTTCTGGAAGATAAATCTGAGAGAATATCTTTCGAGCAAGTACTTTTAAACAAACAAATGAATCATGTCAAGTCTTTTTTTTTTTAATTGTCAAATATGCTCTATGTGCAACATACAGCACGGATGTACCACCGAAAAGAATGTGATCAGACATCGTAAAAAAATAGAAAAAGGAAACAGATGATTCTTGTAATATGAATCCATGAGAAAATGTTCTGTTCAGTGAAAGGTCCCATGCTGTACAAATCCATTTTTCCCCTCACCGTTTTATTCATAATATGGCTGTGACTTGGTTTACATTTAGCATCTACACAGTTTGATTGTTTGCAATAAACTATGAAAGGTGAAGGGTTTACATAACCAGCAGATCAGATTTTCACACTGTCTCACAACGCTCACAATTCTAGTACCTGTCTAATTTGTGATTCCTATACGGCCACTCAATTCAGGTAACATGGCGGAGCAGCGGCCAAGCACCTGCGTCTTGTTGAAACCTAAACTTTGCCTTAGTTGCCCACCTCAGAGGAATAAACTGATTCAACTCATCTTTGGAGACATTTCTAAGCATTTCAGAACCAGAATTGTGCTGTGTTCCAGCACTTATTGAGGAGTGTAGCTTCATCAATTTAAGCTTTCACACATACAAAAAAAATACACTTCTGGGTTTATGGTGACACGGCCACACATACACACGCTGGTCAGTCCACCTCAGAGTGCTCTCTGGGCGACCACAAGGATGCAGCTCATCACTATGGAGACGGATTAACAAGTAATAAAAATCTGACTACAACAGAGAACCAGCCAGGGACCGAGTCAGTGTGCCTCAGAATGCTTGCATCACCATGGAGGAGGACAAAAAGAAAACAAAAAAAGGAGGAAAAAGTTACCTCCTGGCGGCCTGGGGTGTCAGGCTGTCATGGTCGCCTCACGGTGCACCGTCGCCACAAAGGGGACATTTTATTAGACAGCGGTGAGGTCAGTCATGATGTATGGATTTGAGACAGTGGTGTTGAAGAGACAAAAGCAAACAAAGCTGGAGGTGGCTGAAATGAAGATGTTGAGGTTTGCTTTAGGAGTGATGAGGTTGGATTGTAAATTAGCTCATCAAATGGACAGCCGAGGTTAGATGTTTGGAGACCAAGTTAGAGAGAGCAGACTTTGATGGTTTCATACCTGTCAACTCATACGGTTAAGCCATATTTTATACGGATTTTGTGGTGAATCTTATGTATATGGCCATATCGCACAAATCATATGGATTCTGAAAATTTCCGGGGGGTTTTTTTGTATTATGGAAATCTACAATAAATATTGTGAAGAAATGCCTTGCACCCGAGGCAACACGTCATGTTATTGAACATTCCCGAAAAAAGCCTTTTTCATTGTTAATTGATGAGTCAAATGACCAGAAGACTGAAAAGAGACTTGTGGTGCTTTCCGATTTCCGAAAATCGCTTGCACCAGAAACACTGACAGCATTATTGCAGTCCAAAGTAAATATGAATGGATGCTGTAACTTCGAGTCAATGACTTGACAAATACATGTCGACACACAATGGGGGCTGAACGTAAAAGTGTCCTTGGGTTCTTGAAGGCTGCGATACAAATGTCTTTTATTATTATGATCAAAGAAAAGGGTTATAGTGAGCTGTTTTGGAGAGCGTTTATCGTTATTATATCGATATTTTAAGAGGTTAAAATGGACAAAAGTAAAAATGCCCACAGAAATTTTGGTGACCATGAGCATAGTTTTCTGACATAAGTTAAACGTTTTATAATTTGCTAATTGTATTCAGTTCCTTTGCTGACATCAAACTCAAGATATGAGGGGGGTGTATTGCCGAGGAAAAACAGTGGCTTCAAGATTAATTATTTACTTATTTCTCCAAAGCAAACTGATAAAGGTGAAAATACAAGGTAATTTCATTTTTCTGATTAAAAAAAAAAAAGTAAGAATTTTTGAGTGAAAAATGGGTCATCCTGGCCCTATCCTTCCCAAAACAGAATATTAATGTTGTAGAATGAAGAGCTACATTTTTTTAAACCATTCTGACACTTTCACTATCACGGTCAGACTAATGTGTGGAGTTTGCATGTTCTCCGTGTCCCTGCGTGGGTTTTCTCCCGGTACTCACATTACATGTCGGGCTAATGGAACACTCTAAATTGTCCCTTGGTGTGGTTATGAGCACAAATGGCTGTCTCTGTGTGCCCTGCGATTGGCTGGCAACCGCTTCAGGGTGTGCCCCAGCTTTTACAATACAATACAATACAATACAATACATCCTGATTTATGTAGCGCTTTCACAACAGCTGCAACTGTAACAAAGCACTTTACAAAACAGTTAACATAAAGTAAAATAATAAACACAACACATAACATAAAACACGGACAGTCGTGCAGTCCGAACCACTTTTCCCTCATACGCTTTGTTGTTTGAAGCAGTTCTAGATGAAAGAGGAGAGAATCAAAGTGTCCTTTCACCAGTGAATCAGAGACGTCATGCTCAAAATGTGGACACATCGGCTACAAGCTAAGTTTCAAAGTCAACAAGAAGCTGTAGCATCCATTGATTAAAAAGAGAAATTGGTTCACTTCTCCTGTCCCATGTCAATCCGTTTCAATTCCAAGCGGCGACTCTCAGTTCCAAATACGCATCGGCGCTCCGCACCGACGCTCCTCTCTCCTCGTCCTCAACTTCAGCAGCCATCCATCCATCCAGCTGCACCAACGCAGATTGTCCAACAGCGCCGACATCTCCACTGAACAAAACGGGGCTGTGACAGATGCTGCCCATCACAAGTGAAAAAAAGACAAGCGCTCCGGGGCTGTCTAGCACCGACAGTAAAATGGCGCCAACATTCCTCCCAATCAAAATCAGTGCTGGTCCACGCATGCTGCCAAGAAGGCGCAACCACCAAGCACAGATTCTTCACTTTTGACCAATGTCGTGGCCAAAAAACGCTGAAAACAATCCACATCAGTTCCACACGACGTAACAACAAACACCATGTGACAAAACAAAAAGTCAAAAACAACAAAAAAATGTAAGGCTCTTGAAGAGCACTTGCCGATGGTTGCCTACTCAAAAAAAAACAACTTTTGCTCGAAGGCGGCTATGATAGGCATCAGCATGCCCACGACCTTCGTGAGGATAAACGGATCTGATCATGGATGGATGGATGGATGGATGGATGAATTACTTCTGTGTGAGAATAAGATAATGTGAGAACAATTGATTTGTAGCGCAAAAACAAGCACACAATCGAACTAGAGATGTAGGCAAATAGCTACAATATTCCGGCGACTAGCTTCCATTTTTCCAGCACCTAAATCACCAGCTGATTGAAATGCTAAGCAGGCGTGAGCTGAAGGCTCTGCCCATCCACCAGGCTCAGGGCCTGGGAAAAAAAACAAAAAAAAACGCTCTCAGCCTCAGAACACAGGAACATGACAAAAATACCTGTGAATTATTTGAAATTGTGTACAAAATGCATGATATGTCACCTGGAAAATGTATGAATTCATGGTTTGGGTGTCTTGAAAAGGCGCATAAACTTGCGGATAGACCTTCAAGGAAGAGACCAATCTTTCGACGAAGTAAAAGCAAATCAGAATAATTTTTTATGTAAGCTTTTATTATGGTGGGCTACATTGAGCTGCATTATAACATGGCATCAGTTTGATATCGCGCTTCTCTGGACATACCCAATAAATAAAGAGAAATAAGTCTTCACTGCATGCTTCTGGAAACTCTGAGAATACTAATGGGCTTGTATCCGCAGCATGCAATTGATTGCATTCATCTCCAGTCCCAGGTCTGAAATGACTCTTTAAACATCCGCTAAAATGAAAAGCTGTAGGGGATGGACTGAAGACCATTGATCCAAGCACCCTCTGACTGCCTGATTACGCTGCTTGCTTACCCTTGCACGCTAGCCAGCTCAACCTTCAACCTGTAATTCAGCCATCAGTTATCCAGGCAAGCGCGCTGACTACTGTTGGGCCATGTGCATGATGCTATCAGGTCAGGGATAAAAGTGCCTGGAGGGGGTGAATGCTGGTCACCCCTTGCATTTATCTGCACATCACCACAAACATCCAGCACACTGTGTTTTCCGCCCATAACAGAATAACAACACCTCAGTGTGCTATTTGAGGTACATGAATAAATTATGAAATTACACCATAAGCACACATTTTTATAAACTTTAGTATTTCCACATAAGTCAGTACCAGGGCTGGACTGGCAAGAAAAATCGGCCCTGGCATTTGGACTTTTAATGCCCGCAAGGCTGTATGTGTACGTGTAGGTGCACCCACACACGTGGTATGGGAGTGAGCCGAATGTAGTGCAAAACCCAAAGTTGGTCAACTGTGTTATCTGAGAAACAATTCCAATTATTCTCTTATTTTTATGCAATAATTTCATGACATTTGCATTTTCTGTGATTTGACTGATTTGATTTTGAATCATGTTCTGTTTCAAGTAAGATAAACAAAAGGGATTTTGGGGGAAAGGTGTGGTACACCCTGAACAGGTTCAATATCAGGCTTCCGCAGAGCTTGCTGATGATCTGATCATTTGAATCAGGTGAGTTGCAACAGGGAGAGTTGGAAAACATGCAGGATAGCAGCCCTCCAGGACTGGGATTGCCCACCCCTGAATTAGAGTATTTAATTAACCCGATACAAATGCTTTTGTGATGTATTAGCAAGCTGGACAACCCGGAGTTAACCGCAGAATGTACACAATGCACATAAGGGACCCACAGTTTATTCCGCAGGTGTTTGATGGAGTTGAGGTCAGGGCTCTTCCACACCACATTGATTCAACCATACCTTTTGGGATACTAGGCCCAGTCGTGCTGATAATTGAAGGAACACGATCCCCGAACTGTTGAAACAAAGTTGGAAGCACAAAACTGTTCAAAGTTTCTTATGAAGATGAAGAATTCTGATTCAAGGAAAACTAAGAGAGCACTTTATCTTTCATTACAATTTGGTCTGTTTTACAGCTGTGCATATTATTTACATTTGTATACAAGGGCCAAATGTGAAAACAGTTGGAACACACACATTGGGTAAAGTTCATGCCCTGGACTCGTCGCCAGTCCAGCACAGGAAACATACCGTATATACAAACAGGCATTCACACCCACATTCACATTTTTTCAGAATCCAGATTATGTGTAGGGGGATCGGGGTGTAGGCGTCTTAAACCACCTGATTGTTATTCATGCGATTGCTGCTGTAAGCACTATAGTCAATTGGTGGTCTTGCCATACCCTCCAGGATGTTATTATCAGGTTTTGTTGAATATGCGGTTCATTAAGGTCTCTGACCGCATTAAAGACATCTTTCCAGAATATGTTGGGTTTAGTTGTCTATTTGGGTGTGATTGGCAATCTTTGAATTGAAGTTCCACCAGCGTACACATTTTAGCTGTTATTTATGGAGTCCAGAAAATTGTCGTTACATTCCTCTTGAATACACTCAATTTGTTCGTGACAAAGCGTGCAGCATATTTCGCCTCCCACCGCTGACTGATCTGTTCAGAATTATACGCATATGTTACCAGGTTTCGAGCTATTGCTTGCCTGTTTGATTGGAAACTGGATATTCTTTATTTACAAATTCATTTTTCAGTTATTCAAATCCTTTTAAGATTATCTTATTTGACAAATTGGTGCATATAAGATAAGATATCCTTTATTTGTCCCACACTGGGGAAATTTACATCATATAGCTTGGTGTATGATTTCATCACTTCCAAAAGCTACTGCCTAGTTAAATTTGAGTGACTGGAAAACTTTATTGATTCATTCATTTAGATTTTTTCATACTGTATACCGTATGTCCAAATTGGTTTCACAACTCTCAAAACGCAGGTTTTGTGTGGTGGGGTTGGAAAAAAAAAAATCTAAATCATACAAGTCGACAAAAATATGGATCATGACAGCCCCCTCACATCTCTGTCCCCAACCACCGTAAAGGATCGATTGAAAGTGTCCCAAAAGGCATAACCAAAACACGGGGTGTGGAAGAAAGACTGAAGGACCTGACCATCGGCGCCAGTTCGGTGGGCATCCATGATGCCAGACATGAGGTTTTGGTGGAACAGCCAAGATGAATGGCGTCTGCACACCATATGTCGCCAGGGGGTTAGATGGCAGCAACAGGATTTTGTGTGCCACTGGAGAGACAGGCGACTCTAGCAGCAATGCAGCAGGCCGGGCGTGACGTGGACAGGCAAGTGGCATGGCGGTCCATACCGCCCATTTGTGATGTAGACAGGCAATGGGCACACCAATCTGGACCGCCCAGTTGAGACACGGACAGGGGACTGGTGCTGCGGACCCAACCGCCAAATGGTTATATGGATAGGCAGCTGGCAGCTCTTGGCATGCCATCGGCGCAGGAACAGGACTTCTGGGCTACCAGAGAGCAGGAAAAGGGTCCTTGAGTTGCAATGGCACAGGAACAGAAGCCTTGAGGTCCCACAGGACAGGGTCGGGAGCCTCGAGTTTTTCCGCGGTGCAGGAACACGGTCTTTCCTCATCCATTTGCCACCATAGCGGTATAACATCCACAGTCAGAGTCTCGTAAAAAAACAGCAAACATACATTCATGATACAAGCAGTAACAGATTTAAAAAGCAATGTTTAGAACTGTGTAGAATGAAGAGATTGTGGTCTCACTGTTCCTCTTAGGTATGATTTGAATGAATGAGCCATTGATGCAGGGTGCAAAATTGGTTGGTCATTAGTGACAATTGATCACTCCGATTTGCTGTTAGCTCGTGAACTCGACCATAAGATAGAAGTAGACTATGGAACTGAGACTATGGATGGTT